AAGTAAGGCAGGGGGATTACAAATTCAGTTAAAGCTTGGACCACATAGATAAGCTTGGACCACCTTATGGAGAGAGAGGAGGGAAGAATTGATGGAATGAGATTAACATGAAAAACAATTCTATTTATATAAAGTATAAACTGGGTGATGGTGGTGCACACCTTTAATCCCAGCACTGGGAAGGCAGAGGCAGGTGGATCTCTATGAGTTCAAGGCCAGCCTGGTCTACAGAGTAAGTTCCAGGACAGGCTCCAAAGCTACACAGAGAAACCCTGTGTGTGGGGGGGACATTAATATACATTTCATAACAGACACAAGAAGATACTTTAAACATAGAATTGTTTTGTACAAGGGTGGGAGATTAGGAAGAAAGTGTAAAGAGAAGAGGGGAGGAAAGGAGGAATAGGGAATCAAGCTGTCTATGAAGAGGATTAACAGCCGGGCATAATGGTGCACACCTTTCGTCAATCCCAGCTCCTGGGAGGCAGAGGCTGGCAGATTTTTGTGAGTTTGAGGCCGGCCTGCTCTACAAAGTGAGTTCCAGGATAGAATGGGCTGTTATACAGAGAAACTCTGTCTGGAAACAAAACAAAAACAAAAGATTAATAAATGGAAGAGGGAGTGAAAGTAACCCAAAGGAACGCCTGAGGCAGGAGGCCAAATCTCAGGCTGCAGGACAATAGCAGTTGAGAGGCTGACGGGGACACAGCCACAGCAACTGCTCACCAGGAGGCGTGGACCGGGAAGGGAGAAAGGGGCTTGGATTAATTAGGATTCCTATTGCTGTGAAAAAAAACACCATGACCAAAAGTATTGTTATGCCAAGTTCTTGAGACGCCAAAAAGACCACCACCGACTCACTGATGCAAATGCACAAGGTTTATTGTTAAGTTACAAGCCTAGGCAGGGCCCTTGTCCTGAAAACTGGCACAGCAGCTGCTGGAAAAGGGTGTCTGGCCTCAATTGCAAGGGGTTTATAAAGGAAAAAAAAAAAAACACAAGCAGGGTGATATGTGCCTTGGCTGTTTAGGATTGGGTAAGAGTAGGTGACTTTTGGATTCATTGACATGGGGGTTAGGGGAATTCATATTTTTGGCGGTATAACCTGTTATTTAACATATTTTCACTGGTTGTCATGTGGAGGGAACATTCTATGGTTTCTGGGTTGCACCGTTGACCTTTTCACCTTTCCCAAAATTAGTTTGGTTTTTAAATTTCTTGGAACAGGGTGGCTCTGTGTATCTCAGAGGTCAAGGAAGGGATGCTCTACTCTGGAAAAGTTGCTGAGGCTTATCTAATTTGATTTTTAACCCTTTCATTCCATCTTCTTTTATGGGTGTAACTCAATCAACAGTTTTATAAATTTAATTCATAGTCTTGCCAATAGTTCTGTGACCTTTGTCAAATAGTATCTAATCAATCTTTTATAAATTGAACCGATGTATTTAAAATACAGGGACCAGAAGTTTTCTTTTGACTGAGCATTTCCACGATGGAAAAGGGACAATGTATATTCTTCTAATGCTGTTTCCTGCTGACTTTGGGACGTTGTTGTCAGGGGCCCAAGCAGGCTGAAATGCTGGCCCAAAACAAAAAGGGGGTTTAGGCAAGGGGGCATTTATCAGAAGCATCTGGCTCACAGACTGCTGAAGAGACAGGGAGTGTTCACATCAGCTGCACTGGTCTACATTCACAGCAAGTCCAGAGTTCACAGTCTTTTGGAGCAGGCTGCGATCAGCAATGGATGGTTGGATATGTCTGTCAGAAGTGGAAACCTGTTGAGACATGTTTAAACTGGGAACAGAAGTTAAAACTCATGTACTCAATTGGAACTCTTAGGCCCATAGTTTCAGTGATCAAGAAAGACAGGAGAAAAAATCCCATCCTCAGGAACAGACAGGTGGGAAAACATAGGCTGTACTTTATCTGGAGTCCTTTGGACCTGTGAGAAGTGGAACCATGCTTTATGACTTTCAATCCTCTGAAGTCAATTAGAACTCTACTCTAATGATGAAAATGAGAGGCGTTAGGGTGTGCCTCACGGAGCATGTTCAGGATCAGAAATGGAAAGGAAACTACTTTGTTAGCAAACCAAAGAAAATGTATGATTACATCTTACAATCTTCACTGTTACCGATGGCTAGACTGGGCTTTATGGGTCCTTCCTGTTATAGATGGCTGAGATCGTAAAGGAAAAAGGGGATTTATTAATGCAGTGATGCCTTACTGAAGACTATAATTTGATCTTCACAGACTCAACATAGCTAACCTGGTTCAATCATGTTTTAGCATAATACTAGCGAGACTGACAAGATGTGAGCAAATGTCATTATTGAGATTATGTAAAAGAATCTCTATAAAAAGATGTATAATTGAGACACTAGCTAGGCATGGTGATACACTGCCTTTAATCTCCGCACTCCAGAGTCAGTGGCAGACTTCAAGGTGAGCCTGGTCTACACAGAGTTCCAGGATAGTCAGGGTTATGTAGGAAGACCCTCTCTCAAAAAGCAAAAGAAAAGTTAAAAAGCTGGGTCTTGGAAATTTTTAGGAAGAAAAAAAGATCATACTATTCATTTAAAATTCAAGTCTCTACTATTAAAAGAACAAAGCAGTAATATTTAATAAAACAAGCCTGTACCCTTTTCATTTCTACAGCCTATATGTTTGCTTGAGGGGTAAAGCAACTGTGTCTCTTTCCACCTATAATTTTTACTTAACATCAAATAAGCCAAAATATAGTATTATGGCAAGCAGGGTATCACTTGTGTCCTTTAAGGGAAAACTAGGGGTGGGGTTATAGTTTAGTGATAGAGAACTTGCAGGGGTGTAGAATGTCCTGTGTGTGATGCCCAGCACCGTCACCATAACAACCAAAGCATGTCACCTGAGTCCATGGTTGTTAAATGTGTCGGAACTGCCTGGAGAACTTGGCATTAAGCCACAAGTTGCTGGGCCAAACATCCAGTGTTTCCAACTCAGTTGGTCTGCAGTGAGGCTAAGGTGATCCGTACTGATGGATTGGAAATCTCATTTTCAGAACCAGACTTCAACCTAGAAATGTTTCCTGCTTCCTTTATTTGTTGAGTTAGTTCTCTGTAAACCTTTGTAAGCCTTTCAGAGCTCTTCAGTGAGAATCAGATGTTCTCATCTGGAGGGCCCTCGAAAGTGGGAGTCACAGCATTAGCTGATCTTATCGTAAATTGAGGGTGAGGTTGTAAAGGAAAGCCTATTTCTTTCTCAGCACAAATGGTCACAAATGCTATTCTTGCTATCTCCCCCAGCCCTCAGGTTTACTGAATACCGAAATAGGAAGGAAGGCCCATAAACTCCATCCCTACCACCAAGCTTCCCCCAATTTCTCAAAACGTAATGATTTCTGTAGTTTTGAGATTCGGAAAATTATCTATATTCCTCGTCTTATTCAGTATAGGCTACCATCATGAGCTTTTGTGTGTGTGTGTGTGTGTGTGTGTGTGTGTGTGTGTGTGTGTAGCATGCATGCATCCACATAGCTACCTAAAATGTATTTTCTTTAAATAAATGCATTGCTATGATCCTTACAGCATACCTGAGGTGGTATACACTAAAATCTAGCTTCTTGAATTGGAAGTTAAATCCTTATATAAGATCAGGTAACTGGCAGGGCCTTGGTGGCCCACGCCTTTAATCCCAGCACTCAGAGAGGCAGAGGCAGGTGGATATCTGTGAGTTCAAGGCCAGCCTGGTCTCCAGAGCGAGTGCCAGGATAGGTTCCAAAGCTACACAGAGAAACCCTGTCTCAAAAAACAAAAACAAAAAAAAAGAAATCATGTAACTGAATAGAGACTGCACAATATTTCAAAATAAAAGAATTAATGTACAATAAAAATAAAAACCCAAAACCTCTAACAATCTGGGCCATAGGGAAGAGTGGCATGCTGTGTTCTTGACTGAGAATTTGCTTTTGCCTTACCAACATTAAACTGCACCGTCTGTGCTGATGGGGGGATGGGCATGTTTTGGCAAGTCTCTTTCTAGACATATCCCAACATGCTGCATACCTGAATGGCTTCCACTAAGTTATATTAGTGTGCCTCAACTTCCTGCTCATGGTTTTCTTTGTGATAGGGTCTTGTGGTGCAGGTTTGCCTCAAATCGGCACAAAGCCGGTGTGTGGGGCGGGGCAAACCTTTAATCTCTGCAGAGAGGTGGATTTGTGAACTCGAGGCCAGCCTGGCCTACGGGGAGATTTCCAGGACTGCCAAGGCTACAGAAACAACCCACCCCTCCCCCGCAAAAACCCCCCCCCCCCCCCCAAAAAAAAAAAAAAAAAAAAAAAAAAAAAGGGAAAGCAGGCAGGCTGAGCAACCCATGGAAAAAAGCCCAGCGTCACTTTTCCATAGCCTCTCTGCATCAGCTCTTACCTTAGATCCCTGTTCTAACTGCTTTAAAAAAAGAATGTAGAAGTGAGCCTCATAACCCTAATCCTCCTGCTCCCTCCCTAACTGCTGGGACGACCGCCATTACACATGGCTTGCTTGTGACCAGAGATTAAACTGGTTATTGCACTGGAGTTCCAGGCCACAATTCCCTACACCGGTGGCTAAACTGGAGAGCCTTCCTAAGGCATCTCTGGCCACATAAGCCCATAGCACCTTTAAATCAGCCGTACCGTCGCTGGAAACTGAACCGAAGCAGCCCCTGCCAGGGATGTTAACCGATAAGGGAAGCTAGGCTTAATGGATGGCACTAAACCCAGACTCAACCCAGCGACTCCATTTTGTGGACGCGCCTTCACCTTACGGAGTCTAAGTCAAGACTGCAACCTGGTCAGACAGACGCAGTCGTAGTCAGGAGAGTGCCAGCTCTCCTGATGAGCTTGTGGTTGGCCCTAAAAAGGGCCGTTAGGGATGGGCGGGATGAAGCAGTGGTGGCGCAATTTAGCCTCCGAAGCCATACAGGGTGCGGCCCTGGCGCTTGAGCGCGTAGACTACATCCATGGCGGTGACGGTCTTGCGCTTGGCGTGCTCGGTGTAGGTGACGGCGTCGCGGATCACGTTCTCCAGGAACACCTTCAGCACCCCGCGGGTCTCCTCGTAGATGAGGCCGGAGATGCGCTTGACACCACCACGTCGCGCCAAGCGGCGGATGGCGGGCTTGGTGATGCCCTGGATGTTGTCACGCAAGACCTTGCGGTGGCGCTTGGCGCCCCCTTTGCCTAGGCCCTTTCCACCCTTTCCTCTTCCAGACATGGTCAGTGCAGTTCAGACACCAGCCTGTGAAGCACTGAACGTGGCGTCCCTCTGATATACGAGGGGATCGGACCAGATTGAAAACCGAAAAGCGCGCGGGCGGGAACCTTTCTAAGTCGTCCTGGCTTTAGATATTGCGTCATTTCCCTGTTTTTCTTCTCTTCTCTGCCCTCTACCGGTCCCTCGTATTACCTTGCCTTTCCTTTTTCTTTTTCTTTTTAGTTTTCTTATGTTGTAATGCCATGGTCCCTGGGAGAATTCAGATCCCCAAATAAAACTTAGAAGACCGCAGTCTTTTACGACTCTGTTTCTTCCAGTCTGTGGGTTGCTGGACCGCACGAAAGCTAAAAGGACAAAAGACTGGAGAAAGAGAAAGGGAATTCAGAGACGAAAAGGGGACACGCCGCATCGAAGGCCCCGAGCTACGGTTAGAGAAGACCGCTGCAAAAGTCCAGCAGCGAGGGTACCATAATCGGAAGCTGCGGAGCCAGGAATGTGTGTGCAAGGGCCAGTTCGCGGGCGGTTCTGAGTATACTCGCTGCTTTGTTGAAATAGACAGTTTTCGGCTCAAACAGAAACTAGGTCCTAGGAAAATTCGTCTGAGGATGCTTCGGAGCTTCCTTGATTAGATCAGTGGGTCCCCAAGGACCTCTTCCCAAAGACCTGCTGACTAGCAGAGCCTGGGAGAGCTGCCACACTCGTTTCGACTAGTCCTTTGAGGTCTGCCGGTGTTTTCGGCCTGGGAATGGTTCCCAAACTGGGCCCCCATGCAGCTGAATAAATTAACTTTTTGCAAGTGTGTATCTGCTTCATACAGTGGCGCCCTGGGAATTTGAGCCTGGACTGATAGCATGTTCCTGGTTCCCAGGGCCCTCCATCTAAAAATCATGAGACAGCATTTCTTTCTAAAGCAGAAAGAATTGTAGTGGGTTGTTTCGTTTTGTTTTTTTCTGGGAAAAAATAAAGTCTAAAACAATAATCCTATATGCCTTGTCTTATATGTACTGATGAACCCTTGATTCCCCCACTAACAATCCGGATTTTCTGGCTGCAGGCTTGTAGGTAGATATGGGAGGATTGAGTTAGGCTCAGGGCTTAGAACACCACCGCCCCCTCCCCCCCCCAAAAAAACACCCAAAATCCTCATGCTTTAAACCTAAGGCCTGTGAAACCTGTTTGTTTCTTGGGGGGTAGGGGACTTATTCCCTAACCCCCTTAAACCTGGACAGTTGTATAAGGCTCTTGTCTGATTGACACTGTGGTCACAGCATGGAAATGCCCACACCCAAACCGGCACCCTAGCATTCACAGATCTCCGGTCCAGGAGCTTCCTGGCCGACATTGCTGTTTTCTCAATTCTGTAGCAGTTCCTGGAAGATATGTTACTTCACACCTCTAGGTGTTTTACCGACTCCTCCACACCTTCGAATTCTGTTTATTCCTTTTTGGAAATTGAAGTGCAGCAGAAGGTCAGTAATTGCTTATGAATGGACAGGACCTGCATTTGACTCTTTAAACACTAGTTAAAAAAAAAAAAGATAAAATTGCAAAATAAAACAACCACATGCCAAGGCTGAAGGACTTTGGTACCAGGGCCCTAGGCATAATCAGAGACTGTTTACTGTCTTCTTATTTGAGAGGTATGGAGAATATGTGCCTACTGTGGACATGAGAATCATTTTGAACTGAAGGGTTGAGATCCTGAAATCTCTTCTCTGTCTCAAAGTGGAACCTGCAAAAGAAAAAGAAGTCAGCACATTAAACTTGCTGAAAATAACCCTGGGGTGGGGGGTGGGGAGGGCAGGTGACTCTGACTTTCTCTTTTCAGAGCTGAGAACTTAGACCATTCCTAAGCAGACTTGTCTCAGGACTATCCAGTCCCTATCTATTTTCCTAAGAGCTATTTATTCTCCCTAAAAGTCATCTGATTTTTCCATAAGTGACGCCACTTTGACCCCAAGTCCTAACCACCCAGTTTGAACTACTCATCGGTCAAGAATTCCCACATCTGTGCTCAATACACATATTTAGAAGAAAACAACATATTTAAAAGAAAACAAATTGTCTTGACCTATCTTTTTCTTGTAAGAGTCAGTTCCAAATAAGAAACTATGAAAGTTAAAGCAAAAAACTTATCCTGTAATTTTTAAAAAGCCCTTAAAATATTTCATTTTTAGCATTTATGCAGGCCCCATGAGGATAGCTACTGGAATAAAACAACAACACTTTATACATCTCTGAAATATTGTAATATATTACTAGACTCCAGAACATTCCAGTGAAGTATTGTATTATACTAAGCTGCCGTCTATAGGCAGTAACTGTGACTGACCAGGAAGAAAACCTGTGCTCATTTCCATCCAATAAATAGCAAGGTACTGGATGCATTGGTCTGTTACAAAATGGAGTAAGGAAAGAACCCTAAATTCCTGTGATTTTTTAATTTGGTTCTGGGTTGCAGACCAGACAAAATAAAAAGCAAATCAGGTATATAGCCTGAGCAGCCCACAGACCAAAATCTCAAATTGTCACAGTTGGTGTTCTAATATAACTCTGGAGGTACTTGAATCCAAACACAAAACTTAGTTCACACTTTTGTATTAAAAACAAACACAGGTGCATACAAAATACTTCATGCCCAATAATTCATTTATTTAAATTTTCTGTTTGCTTATTTGTTGTATGGAAAATTTAAGTTTCTTGTTTTCACCCCAATTAGTAAAATTCCAGTTCTCAGTCTTAAACTTCAGGCCCTTGTAATTTGTTTTGTTTTGAGATAGGATCTCACTGTGTAGCTCTGGCTGTCCTGGAATGACCTCACTATGTAGAGCAGGCTGGCCTGGAACTCACAGAGATCCTGCCTCTGCCTCCCCTGTGCTGGGATTAAAGGCATGCACTCTTATACCCTGCTGTTATGGTAGAAGCTTCACCCTAGCCCTTGGCATCCATATACCCAAAGAGTCTGGAATGTTATGGTGGAAGCTTCACCCCAGCCCTTGGCATCCATATACCCAAAGAGTCTGGAATGTTATGGTGGATTCCACACAAGCCCACTCCCCTATCTCCCTCCAAACCCTGATGCATCTCAGAAATCGACAAATGATGACCCCTCCCCCAGAGATCCTCAAGACCACTCCCACAGGGTATTTACACTGCTCCCCAGAAAATAGATGTGTGGTTTTCTAGTCTCTCTTTCCTGTCCCCCCTCTAGGAAACTGGAAGGCAATCCATGAGGGTTGTATGCATTAAAGGTAGGCTTTTTCTAATTCAGTTTGATTTGGTCTCATTTGGGTTGCTGCATCAGTGGAGAGGCTTATGGGGTGTAGAAACTTTTCACCTGCTTCACCCTTTTGGGGGTATATTTTAATGAAAAATTTCAGGGCTTTTCTGAGAAATTGTTCCTCTGCCCCATAACTGCAGACAAATGGTTTCTTTGGTATCATAACCCCTTCTGGTGAGAGATTGGATCCAGAACTTCACATGAATGTTATTCCAGTGTCCAATATGTGAGAACCAAGCACAACTGAACTAATATAAGTCTGAATTGTTATTAAAGGCAATATATAGTGGAAGGAATAAAAATTAAGCTTACCCAGGCATCAGGGATATGGTATTTCAGAAAGTGGTCCTGATAACCCTTGGAAGTTTCCTTTTTTGTTTCTAACTTCTTGCCTTGGGATTCACATTCACAGTGGCATCCCTGTTTCTGAAAAGTAGAAAACTCTTACAAGCATAATTTTAAAAGTTAGAAAAGGGGAAGTCTCTTGGGATTTTCTTATTGTCTGTTAAGTAAAATAAACCCTACGACTCTTAGATTCTATATTTGAATATAGCAGTTTTCTCTTACCCTCAGAGGATGCAGTCCAAGATCCAGGGCCAATACCTGAGCATACAGATAACGCTGTACATTACATATGCAGCACTATATGTTTCTCTACAGTATATGTATATATGCTTATTGTAAAGTTTAACTTATAAGTTAGGCTCAGTAAAAAGAGCAAAAGCAACAATAGTAAAACAGAACATTCTTTAGTTAAATTTGCACTTCAGAGTGCCCAAGATCACCAGTCCCTGAACACAGGCACTCAATGCCTTGGCAGATACTCTGAGAATGAAGATTGCTACAACGTGATTAATTTGTGCTTAGCAGGGAGATGGTGGACAAGGAGGTGATTTATGTCCTGGGTGAGAAGGCATGACATTTCATCACTGTACTAGGAATGGGCATGCAATGTAAAACTTTTGACTTTTATCCTGGAATTTTTCACTGTTAAGGGCAGAAATGAAAACCTCAGAAAAGTGGCATTAGCATATGGAGTTTGAGAATCTTGCAGATTTAAATGAGCCCACCCATACATTATGCTCGAGTGTATACATTACAAAGAAAATCTGACAAGGAAATGTGACAGTTGGGTGGGCACCGTCCAGATTCCAGGGGCAGTTTCCCCTTCTGATGGGAGTTCATGGGAGAAGTTTGAGATGTTCTAGAGGGTTTACTGCAGAATAGGAAGATGTTTCTGAGCTACAAAGTTTTACCAGCTGACCCAGTTGCTCCGGATTAAAACACTGCTAGAAAAGGACTACAGGAAGGGTGACCATTCACACCAGTGATGCTTTTGTGCCCCGTTTTGGAAATTGCTTCTGCTCCTGAGGGATTCTTAACGAAATTAATTAAACTGGCAAACTTCTACATGTGATTAGTCTTTTGGAATCCCTTTAAAATCAATTTCATTTCATTTGGATTTCAGCAAGAAGATAATACACACTGGCACCATCAAGGTAAGTTTTAAAAAACTTATAGTCAATATGTCTGTCTCAGCATTTCTCTTTTCTTCTTTTTAAACAAAAGAATAACAGGGCCTCTTTTTGTTTTTAGGTTTGACTTTTCAGAAGGGTTGTAGGTAATGCTTTAAAAAAAATCAGACATGCTATTAAAAGTTTTATATTATTTAGCATAACTATAACATGCACTTTCCAAAACATGCCAAGTAGCCGAAAGGTTAAAAACAAAACAAAACACTTTACTGGTCTTGGGAATAATATAGAAAATATTAGACGTTTAATAAAACATTTAATCTTTGTGGGAAAACACTGTTAGCACCTCAGTCATCAATAAATGACTGGTTTGCTTTGAAAGATATTTTAATGTGTCACCTGGATGATAAGGGTTTGGTTATTTAGTAACTATTCTCTACTGCAAAGAAGGTATTGATACTTCTAGTCTTATCCGTTGACAAATAAGCCCTTCATCTGCAGGACTTAATTGGTCTTTAGTGTAGGAATGAGGGGGAGGGTGTACACTAGAGGGGAGGCGGGCAGGGGCATCAAACAGAACTTGGGTCAGTGTGTAGGGCAATTTTGGCCGGGTTCAGAAGTAGATAAAATGTTGAGTTTATTTTAGTTCCTTATGGTTATGAAAGCTTCCAAACCGCGGGACACAGTGCCTGAAGCTAAATAAATGCTAACTGTGGGAGAAGTGGTGACTTAACGACAAACTGAATCGCAGTACGGGAAAGAGGCAAGCTTTTTTCCGAAGGAACCTGTTAGGGCACACGGTGTGTAAAACACTATGCACTGCTTTCAGAAAAGTTACATCAACTGAAAAGAACCATCTTTCCAAACGCTCCGTGGTCCGTAGATACAGGAAGAAGAGGGGAAAGGATCAGGAAAGACGGCGCAGTGTAACCATCTCGTGACTCGGCAAAGAGGATCGAATTCTACCCAATCAGACTGCAAATCCAGGAACTCCTGTTTTTCTGGACCAATCAAGACGAAGATAAGTCTATAAATAGGGCCACCAGGCGCCTGCAAGCCAAAGTCGCAAAAACATGGCTCGCACCAAGCAGACGGCCCGCAAGTCCACCGGCGGCAAGGCCCCGCGCAAGCAGCTGGCCACCAAGGCTGCCCGCAAGAGCGCGCCGGCCACGGGCGGCGTCAAGAAGCCGCACCGCTACCGGCCCGGCACCGTGGCTCTGCGCGAGATCCGGCGCTACCAGAAGTCCACCGAGCTGCTGATCCGCAAGCTGCCGTTCCAGCGCCTGGTGCGCGAGATCGCGCAGGACTTCAAGACCGACCTGCGCTTCCAGAGCTCGGCCGTCATGGCGCTGCAGGAGGCGAGCGAGGCCTACCTGGTGGGGCTGTTCGAGGACACCAACCTGTGCGCCATCCACGCCAAGCGCGTCACCATCATGCCCAAGGACATCCAGCTGGCCCGCCGCATCCGCGGGGAGCGGGCCTAAGTTACGCTTCTGGAAAATCGACGTTAAAAGGCTCTTTTCAGAGCCACCTATGTTGTCATTAAGAGCAGCTGTGTCAGCTTTGCACTGAGAATGAGGCAAGGCCCAAACCTGATTTTGCAAACGTATCCCCAAGTGTGTCAGCCCTAGCAGTTGTGATTGAGGATTGAAACGTGTAATTTCGATCCGCTTAGGTGTGGGTCGAGCCCAGGAAGAGCTCTAGGAGTTCTCGGGTAGAAACAGTCTGTGTTGATTTCAGTTCAGCCACCAAGTGTGATAGCCCAGAAAGGGAGGTTAATTTGTTTCAACCTGGTGCGTTAGGAAAGAAGGAAGAACAGGTGGGGGGGAGCCGCGGCTCTCATTTACCAGCCTCCATGAAATGCAGTGCTGCGATTGGCTAAGAAGACTGCTCTCTAATCACCAAACCAAGGCGCGCAGCCAGTGTCTATTTGCGTAGGCTCCGCCTTCTTGACTCTAACTCGAGAGTAAATTAGCCAATAAAAATGTGGTGCTGTGAGGGCCTTCATTTGCATACAAGCTCTATAAGTAGCGCATAGCGAGCCGCGCTGCCACAGTTCGTACTCGCCTCGTCCATTTTGTGCTTCTGCTTGGAACGCGGAGGAAAATGCCGGATCCGGCGAAATCTGCTCCTGCTCCCAAGAAGGGCTCCAAGAAGGCCGTCACCAAAGTGCAGAAGAAGGATGGCAAGAAGCGCAAGCGCAGCCGCAAGGAGAGTTACTCCGTCTACGTGTACAAGGTCCTGAAGCAGGTGCACCCCGACACCGGCATCTCCTCCAAGGCCATGGGCATCATGAACTCCTTCGTGAACGACATCTTCGAGCGCATCGCGGGCGAGGCTTCCCGCCTGGCGCATTACAACAAGCGCTCGACCATCACTTCCCGGGAGATCCAGACGGCCGTGCGCCTGCTGCTGCCCGGGGAGCTGGCCAAACACGCCGTGTCGGAGGGCACCAAGGCGGTCACCAAGTACACCAGCTCCAAGTGAGGCGCAGCGGAGACGTGATTGATCGACTTTACCCCAAAGGCTCTTTTCAGAGCCACTCCAGCTCTCAAAGAAAGGGCTGTAACCACTAAAGGCTTATGGTGCCTTGTTTAGGTAAGGTGGAGTGATGAGTTTTCTCCCTGCGGGGCTCGGGTACCGTACCGAGCGTCTCAAAGAATGTTGGGCCGGTAGGGCGCGGCGGTGCCTGTCGCATCGTGTACAAGATAGGGTAGGATGTTAGTGTATTCCCTACTTAGCTTAGGTAAAGTGGTCTTTGAACCGATCTCAAGTTACTCTCTCCATTTGTGAGTTCAAACTGGAGCTAGTCCCTCACCGTCTTGGGGCGTCCGGAAACAACTAGATCTGCCTAGAGCATGATGTGGGCGCAGTCACTGGCTGCCGATAGTTGTCTTTCGATGCCACTCAGCAGGATGGCCTTGAGGAAGACCCTATCCGGTTAAGGCTATTGTATGTTGCTGGATAAGTATCCCGCGGACTAGTTGTAAGCATGCAGAGAAGTCCAGTTTTGGAGTCTCGCCCGCTTCCCACCCCTTTGTAGTTCGGGGCGGCAGGGGTGGGGTGAGTGAGGATGGCTTGGCGGCAAGCCCTGCCCCCTGCGCCATTTCGCTGCCCGACTCCAGGCGGGTTTTTATGGTCAGCATCAGCCCTAGGTGCAATTTTCACAGCACTAACTGGCTTTTCTGATTCTAAAGGTGGGAATGAGACTCTTGAGCCCTGACCCTCGCCAAGAATTGGATGCTCTAGAGAAGGGTTTTCTTTTCTCTGATACGCTTCCTGTCAAAGTGAAACATAATGAATGGAGCCCTTTCTAGGTTGTTTAAGGGTTAAATAAAATAACGTACTTAAAGCTGGAACCAGGTAAGTTGTCAGTGGGCCGCGCGGTAGGAAGCAATGCAGGCGCCGTGTAACCTCCAGCACTCCCCTTTCCCACAAGTTCGCTTATAGACTTTCAGCATTCTAAAATCGTTTCCCTAAGCATCTTGCCCTAAACTCCTTACTATATAAAACAAAATCTTTCCAGGAAGGCATCCAGACTTGCAAGACGTGATTTTGTAGAAACTTCAAAAGTATCTTTTATGTGACCCGGTGGGGAAAGTGGGTTTTAAAACTTGATGGTGGCCCACGCCTTTAGTCCCAGCTCTCTAGAGGACAGATTCGTATCTGGGCCAGGCATAGTGAGACACTGTCCATAGGATCTTTGGCAAGTTTTTGGTAATAACTTACAATCAAATGACTGTAAACTGGGCAGTGGTGGCACACTCCTTTAATCTCAGCACACAGGTGGATCTCTGTGAGTTCAAGGCCAGCCTAGTTCTGGGCAGCCAGGAAACCCTGTCTTGAAAAACAAAAACATTGAGTATTTCATGTCCAGTACCCTCAGAGGGAAAAGTACTTCTATTAAACACTCCTTTCCCAGCTTTTAGTTGACAGCTCTGAATTTTGATGATTTCACACAAGGGGAACCAAGGGAAAAGAAATTACCTACAACTCATCTCCCCTCTTTTCTCTCTAATACTGTATTTCATCCAGCTTGGCTATTTAGTCAAGACTCTTGGAGAATTATAAACAGGAAAAAAGTGTGCTAATTAATGTATGCACATATGAACAATGGGGTTAGGCCATAGAAGGGAATACATTATTTTCTGAGGTGTCTATACTATGAAAATCTGAAGGATTTGCTCATCAGTTCTGTTTTGGGAAAAATTTTTTTTTTCTGAGTCATTTTAAGTATCTAAACTCTAATGACCATATTTTCATACTGGTTTCCAGACACTAAGTGATAGAAATTGTTCTAAATGATCATTCCCTACTCCTACACCCCTGCAAAACAAAAAGTATGTTCAATTTTAGGGCTTGCAAGGATGGCTCTGCATGGAAAAGTGCTTGCCCAGTGACCTGAGTTTGATTGTGAGGACAAACACAATTGAAGGAGAGAAGTGATTCTCAGAAAAAAATCACCTGACATCTGAGTTCAAACACAGAGAAATGCAATAAATTAATATGATTTTTAGGTTATTAGTAGGAGAGTTCATCGCAGTAAAATTTGAATTCTAATATTTGCCTACAGAAAAACAAAAAAGATAACTTGTTCCATTTGTCTAGCCAAGTTTATCTTATTGTTATGGTGGGAGTGTGTTTATAAAGGCTCATAACTGAGAAGTTTTTCTGGCTCAGTTTGTTCTGAGGAGAAAGTCAAGTTGCATAGATTATGAAGACAAAGCAAAACTAAGAAACTGTAACAATTCTTCCTAGCATGAAGAAGTGATATTGACTGAGCAATGTGGCACACACATTTAAACCCAGCATTTGGGGCAGAGGCAGTGGGCAGTCTCTATGAGTTCAAGGCCATCCTGGTCTACACAGGGTCTTCTAGGCCAGACAAGGCTACATAGAGACATCCCTACCTCAAAAACAAAAACTATATTTGAGATTGTAAGCATTGACGGAGTCCCTCGGATCGATTAGTCACGTACAGTTTGCAGATGTTGACAAAAGTGCGTGTGTAGACCACCCCTGAAAGTGTAGAAAGGTGGTAGAGATGTGGAAGGGTAGTTCCTAAAATCTCGAGGTGTGCCATGCGTGCACAACTTCGACAAGCCAGCTGCGGCGGGACTCATTCTGAGGACTGATTGGGAGTATTTCCTCACCTTAAAACTAAAATAGTAACATTTATACAATCTTCAGGAAGTTACCAAATTGATACAAGGATTTTGGAAAACATATCTCACAAGACTAAATCATAGCACATACCTACACTATATTGTATTCAAAGTTTCCATTATTTTCAAATTCACACAGAACATGGACCAAAACTGGCCACCACTTTGGGAAACTAAAATTGTAAAGGACACACTTGTTGATAACAAAACAATAAAATAAGATTATCCCTACCATCATGCTCTACAGAAAAAGCCACAGGTCAAAAGGGATTTCAAAGTAAAACCTGCACAGTCTTTAGAATAACCGTGAGATCACTGTGTGTGGGAACCTCTGAAGGTACACAGAGGGTAAATAGCAGGTTTACAGGATTGAAGGAAGGCAAGTATGGTGGTGTAGGCCTTTAGCCCCACACTCAGGAGGCAGAGGCAGAGGCAGAGGCAGAGGCAGAGGCAGGCAAGAAGAATGGACTTAAGGGAAAGTGAGAACAAGGTAAGCCTTTAACTCAAAGGGAGGCTGAAAGAATAGATCTGAGGAAGAGCAGAATCCATAGAATAGCAAAGACTTCCCTTGGCTACCAAGACCAAATTAACTAATAAAACCAAAGACTGTTCCCAGGCAATGCTGTCTTAAGCTCAGATAAGATACACAACTAATGTGAGATGTAGAAGATATTGTAAATCCTATATGCTTGAGTTTGGTGTATGGGTGTTTCGTATGTATGTATGTATGTATGTATGTATGTATGTATGTATGTACGTACATGCATGCCTGGTGCCCAGAAAGTTTAGAAGAGGGCACCAGATCCCCTGGAACCAGAGTTACAGACTGTGAACCATTATGTGGTTGCTGAGAACTGAACTCAGGTCATCTGTAAGAGCCACAAAATGCTCTTAATTACTGAGTCATTTGTCCAGTTAAATGGTGTTTTGTTTGATAACAGGTCCCCACACCTTAACACAACTAACTCGATGATGAAAGTATCATTCTGGCCATGAAACTCAGATCATAGACAGTACTGTATGTCAAAATGAAAACAGACCTAATCCATCAAAGTCCATAGTTTTGGGGAAGTCTCAAAATATACAAACCTTGCTTTTTAGCTTCTATAATTCTGCTTCTGACTAACTGTTATTGTAAACTGAAGTATGTCAACCGAGAATATTATTTTTGTGCTTAAAAGCTCACCCTGGAAAGTCTCAGTATTAAATTAGGATCTCCACCATCTCTTATAATAAAGACTTTCTCTTGGCTTAAACCCATATTCAAGCAGTGTTCTCTGGTGGCTTCCCCACAATAATAAGATAAATCGCTCAGACTAATCTCAAAATCTCAAAATCTCAATCTTCCTGCCTGCTATAGCCTCTTAAGTGCAGGATTACAAGTCTGTGACACCATGCCTTAAGTAGCTCCATGAAAAGGAGACTGTTTGAATTAAACGAAAGAAACTAGGGCTGGAGAGATGACTCAGCAGTTAAAAGCATTTGCTGTGCTTCCAGAGGACATAGGTTTTAGATTCCTAGCACTCACATAGCAGTTCACAACTGTTGGTGTTTCTAGCTCCAGGGGATCTGGCTCCCTCTTCTGGCCTCCTCAGGTACTGCACACTCATGGGGCACATACACATAAAATTAAAGAAAAAAGTCTTTCAATCAAATACATATAAGTTGGAGAAGCTGAAAAGATAGTCAGATATCTACTCTCTTATAATTCCAGCAGAATGAGAGAATTAGGGTAAGAAGTGGGAAGTGAAAGAGCTATGAAATCTAGGGCTAAAATCTGAGTTCTGTCTTATTGTCACCAAAACTTGGGAAATCTCAGGATATGATGCCATTAAATTTAGAAATTATTATTTTTTAAAATAAGAGTGGTACTTTTAAACAATGAAAATGTTTATTCATTCAACTCTTTCTGTGTCTTCCCAGCGGGTCTTCAAATTCATAGCCAAGCTGAGCCCAGGCATTGCTTGCTCAAAATTAGCTTGTCAGCAAACATTACATTTGAAGATTTTTTTATGTTTATTCTCCCAGAATACCTCAGTCAACTATTTCTGGTCTTTAGTGATTTTCTGTCCCCATTAGCTCCCATATCATTTCTGCCAGTCTTTCCCTTGAACATATGTTCCCTCTCCACAAGTTACTTTTTTTTTTAATCTTTGTAATGGTTAAGGAGTGTGTCCTCAGTATAACAGGGATACAAAGGGAAGGCCAGATGCAGGAGAGCGAACAATTTTATTTTTTGTAAATACGGGAAAGGGTGGGCAGTAGAGAGTAGAGTCTTATTTTCATTGTCAACCTTAATTTAATATACAATTATCTAAGGGATGGGTTTTTTTTTTGTTTGTTTTTTGAGACAGAATTTCTCTGCGTAGCCCTGACTGTCCTGGAGCTCACTGTAAACCATACTGGCCTTG